TTGGATATCCAGTTACACTAGCACCATTTGTTGATACTTCTTTCCCCATTGAATACCTTGGCACTGTTGTCTAAAGTCAGTTGTCCATTAATGTATGGGTTTATTTTAGACTCTTAATTCTGTTTCATTGATATATATGTCTACCCTTATGCCAGTACTACATAATCTTGATTATTTATTTTTTGAGACAGGGTCTTTCTCTGTCACCCAGTCTGGACTACAGTGGTGTGATCACAGCTCACTGCAGTCTCAACCTCCTGGGCTCAAGGGATCCTTCTGTCTCAGCCTCCTGAGGAGCTGGAATTATAGGCATGTGTCACCACACCTGGTTAATTTTTGTATTTTTTATACAGATGGAATCTCACTGTGTTGCCTAAGCTGGTCTGAAACTCTTGGGCTCAAGTGACCCTCCTGTCCCAGCCTCCAAAAGTGTTGGGATTATAGGCATGAGCCACTGTGCCCAGCCTTGATTACATTAGTTTTGTAGTAAATTTTACATTTCCACATGAATTTTAGGGTCAGCATCTCAATTTCTGCAGAAAAGGGAGCTGGGATTTTGATAAGGATTGTGTCAAACCTGTAGATTAATTTGGGGGAGCATTGCCATCTTACCAATACTAAGTCTTCCAATCCATGAACATTGGAAAATAAGTAATTTGTGGTGTGCTCCTTTGGGACTGTGAATATTCTGTTCCTCATAAAAATTTCAACCAATACTTTTTTTTTTTTGAGACAGAGTCTCACTTTGTTGCCCAGCTGGAGTACAGTTCATTGGCGATCCCAGTGCAACCCTTCTCCCTCAGCCTCCCATGTAGCTGGGATTACAGGTGCGTTCCACCACTCCCAGCTAATTTTTGTACTTTTAGTAGAGATGGGGTTTCACCATGTTGGCCAGGCTGGTCTTGAACTCCTGACCTCAGGTGATCCACCTACCTTGGCCTCCCAAAGTGCTGGGATTACAAGCGTGAGCCACCGCACCCAGCCACCAGTACTTTTAACATCCATGGATGATTCCATTATTACAATATGATGGTTGCCAAATGGTTCTTTTCTTTTGAGACCTAGTTTCACTCTGTTGCCCAGACTGGAATGCAGTGGTGGGATTTCAGCTCACTGCAACCTCTGCCTGGGTTTAGGGGTTTTAAGCAGAGGGTGATGCAGCCAGTCAGCATTTTGAAAATTCCCCTTGGCTGGGTGCGGTGGCTCACACCTGTAATCCCAGCACTTGGGGAGGCTGAGGTGGGCAGATCACGAGGTCAGGAGATCGAGACCATCCTGGCTAACACGATGAAACACCGTCTCTACTAAAAATACAAAAAAAAAAAAAAAAAAAAGGAAATTAGCCGGGCGTGGTGGCGGGCGCCTGTAGTCCCAGCTACTCGGGAGGCTGAGGCAGGAGAATGGCGTGAACCCGGGAGGCGGAGCTTGCAGTGGGCCAAGATCACACCACTGCACTCCGGCCTGGGCAAGAGAGCGAGACTCTTTGTCTCAAAAAAAAAAAAAAAAAAAGAAAAATTCCCGTGGCCACCATATGGTAGGCAGGGGCGGCAGCAGAGACCACACCAGCTTTCAGATCAGCCACAGATTCAGATGGGCAGGAGACTGTTAGAATTTCTGTCGTAAAGCCCATTCCACTGCTGGTGCTAGAAATCTCATCTCAGTGGGTCTGTCCTCCACAGCATTTGCCCATGCAGGCTCCGCGTGGTACTTGGCCATCAGGCTCCTGGTGACAGTGGCTTTGTCCTACTGTCCTGTCTATAAGGTCTGGGCGCCCAGTGCTGTTCCCGGTGGTAGCTGAGCCTTCTCTGTGCTGACTATGGAAACATGCAGCCCTGGGGAGCTTGGGGTTCTACAAGGGAAACCTGGGCCGTGTAGGGTTCTCAGGGACCTACAGGTGGCTGACAGTCTCCTGTCCCCTCTGCCACTTCTGTGGTGCATATCCTGCAGCCTTTAGGAGGGCACTTCCTGTCTGTCCCTGTCCTGGTCGCCTGTTTCCTCAAGGACTAGGCTTTGGAAACACAAGCTGAGGACTCATTCTCAGCATCTCTGGGAAGTTGCTGTCAGCCTTTCCCTGAAGTGACAAATGCATCCCTGATGGAACAAGGTACAAGGACATGGGACATCATCTAAGTCATACTTTTGTGAAAACCATTTAATCTGAATCTGGCCGTGAGAAAACATAAACCCAGATGGTGTACCATTCTATAGAGTGTGCTTGGATACTTCAAAAACACCAACATTTCAGCCTGGCGCAGCGGCTCATGCCTGTAATCCCAGCACGTCGGGAGGCCGAGGCAGGCGGAGCACGTGAGGTCAGGAGTTTGAAACCAGCCTGGCCAATATGGTGAAACCCCGTCTCTACTAAAAATACAAAAATTAGCCAGGCGAGGTGGCTCATGCCTATAATCCCAGCTACTTGGGAGGCAGAGGCAGGAGAATCATTTGAACCCAGGAGGTAGAGGTTGCTGTGAGCCAAGATCACGCCACTACACTCCAGCCTGGGTGTCGCAGCGAGACAGTCTCAAAACAAAAAAAATAAACCAAAAAAACCCATGAAAAAAAAAATAAATAAAACACCATCAACATCTCGAAAAACAAAACCAACAAAGTAGGGAAATTTTGATTTGTAAAGAGACTAGAAAGACTAGAAGGACATGGTGGCCTGGCACATTGGCTCACACCTGTGATCCCAGCACTTTGGGAGGCCAAGGCGGGAGAATCACTTGAGCCCAGGAGTTTGAGACCAGCCTGGGCAACAAACTGAGACTCCATCTCTACAAAAAATTTTAAAATTAGCTGGGCATGGTGGCATGTACCTGTGGTCCCAGCTACTTGGGAAGCTGAGGCAGGAGGATTGATTGAGCCCAGTTGGTTGAGGCTGCAGTGAGCCATGATCACACCACTCACTGCACTTCGGCCTGGGTGGCAGAGTGAGACCCTGTCTAAAAAAGAAAGAAAAAAAACCAGACAGACATGGTAACTGAAAGCAGTGACTGATCCTTAATGGGATCCTGGATGGATAAAAGGGAAAAGGTGTAAGAGACAAGGTTGTGAGGGCACCTGGCGTATGGACTGTGCTTTAGGCCATATTAATATGTGCACTGAGTGCTCTCCTGGGTACAGGAGGGGCTCCCTGGAACATCCTTTCTTAAGTTTGAGGGTGGTGATGGTGTTGTGGTTGTGCAGGAACGTCCTTGTGCCTGGGAGTTGCGTGATGTGTTTTGCAGTGAAATATCAGTGTATGCCACTGACTCTCAGATGGCTCGCGGGGAAAACGATGTGTATGTGTCCGAGAGGGATAATGCCCATATGAGCGAAATATCGGTAATTGGTGATTCTGGCTGCCGGATATGTGTTCATTATTATACTGTTCATTCAATGGAGGGGGCATCTTCTCTGCTGTGCCAGGAGGGCTGGGTATGGGGGTCCAGATTCTGTACATCAGACACCCCTACCCCATCTTGTGCTTAATAGAGAGTGCAGGATCCTTCCTGAGACCCTAATCTAACCCTCAAGTCCCTTCCCCTGCCACAGGAGAAGCAGGCTCTGAAAGGCTTAGGGTCCATACCCAGTCCCCATGGCCCATCCGGGAGAGCCGCCTGCTGGCTGCACCCCTGAACTTCTGCTTCAATGCCTGATGCAACCGGAAACCTCTTCACTTACCCTTCAAGTCACCGCCAGCTGGGTCTCAGGGTAGAGGTAGGTCTGGGAAGGTGCCAGCCCCGGAGTTAATCTGAGCCACCTGTGGTCACCAGATGCTCCGTCACCACTAACAGGTGTATTGGGGTCTGGCCACAGTTGGGATGGGCTCCCAGGGACCTCTCTGGGGAGGGCCAGGCAGCCTGAACAAAGCTGCTGGGAAGGCAGGGTCTGTTCATCCACTGGGCCTGAGGTCATGAGCTTCTTGGCTGGGTTGGGCCAAGGGAGGAGACCAGGAATCTGTGGCTCGAGAGCCTGGCCAGAGAACTTCCTAAAAGGCATGTTCCGGCCGGGTGCGGTGGCTCACGCCTGTAATCCCAGCACTTTGGGAGGCCAATGGGGGCTGATTCTGAGGTCAGGAGTTCAAGACCAGCCTGGCCAACAGGGTGAAACCCCATCTCTACTAAAAATACAAAAATTAGCCAGGCATGATGGCAGGCGCCTGTAATCCCAGCTACTCAGGAGGCTGAGGCAGGAGAATTGCTTGAACCCTGGAAACCCAGGAGGCGGGGGTTGCAGTGAACCAAGATTGCGCCACTGTGCTCCAGCCTGGGTGACAAAGACTGTCTCCAAAAAAAAAAAAAAAAAAAAAAAAAAAAAAAAAAAAAAAAACAAAAAAAAGGCATGTTCCTACCACCAGGGCTCGGCACCTCCTGCTTCTGTGTGGACTGCGTGCCGTTCCCTCCCCCAAAGCTGGCTACCCACTCATCCTTCCAGTCTCTACCAGAACACTCCTGCCCAGGTTGGGTTTGGCAGTCGTCCTGCGGGGTCCTGCAGCCTCATTCTGCTGCGTCTTGTTTTTCACCACCTGTCGTTGACTTGACCTTGTCTGTCACGTTCAGTATGTCTCCCTCACCAGAGTGAGCTCTGCCCCAGCACTGGGCCTGTAGAGGTGCTCTGGAGATGCACTCAGCGCTTGCACCCGACAGAGTGGCAGCAGCTGCAAGGCAGGGGGATACTGAGTACCCCGCCCTGGAGAATGTGCAGACTGTGGATCTGTGGGGAGTGTGAACTGTCCTCTAGGGTGGTCTTTATCAGCCTATCCTTGCTTCTGTGATAGCGTCTATCTTTCAAGGGTTTATTTCAAACAGGAAGCTGGTAAGTGCACACTCATTTTCGGGAGAGGGGACTGTCAGCCCCATCTTCCTGCCCCAGATCACAGAGCTGGCATGTGACAGCTGGCATCCTGGCTGGCACTCGCATCAGGCTGTCTCCACAGAGCTTGCCTTTTGGGGGGGGTCTGGCTCAGTTTCCTGGGCCCACTCTGCTCATCCCCCTGCAATAATGCCACAAGCCCTTGGTACACGTTACCTCATTTATTCTCACAACATGCCTGTGAGGTAGGGAGGGGCAGGGACTGTCCCCGTTTTACAGAGGAGGAAGTTGAGGCACACAGAGGTCAAGTGACTTGCCCAAGGTCACAGACGGCGGCCAAGCTGGAAATGGGCCCCGGAGCAGGCCCTTGGTTCACCTGGGGGAGTCCCCCCTGCAGCAAGCGCCAGCCAAGAGGATGTCTCGGATGCCAGAGAGGCGCATACACAGCGTAGAGCAGCCCCTCGGGTACTGAGCTGGCTTCGGGGCTGAGCCCCTGCCCTCCCCCACCCTGCCCTGCAGGCCCAGGCCATTGCAGCTCAGGGCTCGTGACACCCTGGGAGTGGGATTGGGGGGCAGGAGAGAGAGAAGGATAATTGGGGTTAAAAAAAAAAAAAAGAAAACTCAGAGACTGGGCAGATGGGCCCTTGGGAGTAGGGGGGAGGGGGTAGAGACCGAAAATAAAAGAGGGCTGCTTACACACAAGGTATGTATTTTTACACACACTTGTACACACACCTAGATATAGTACATGTAAAAATATATGCTATTCACACACCCGCCTCCTGCCAGGTGCCCCGAGAGCCAGCGGCGGCGGCGCTGGGTGGGCATGGGTGAGCAGATGGGCGTTTGTTAAATATACACTCTAAGGTCTATGTGCATATGTACACATACATACAGACACCGCCGCCCGCCCCTCGGGCACCAGACACAGGCGCGGCTGAGGACAGACAGCCCCTTGGAAGCCACTCTGAGTCCCAGATTTTGCTGAAGGAAGAAGGGGCTGGAGAGAATAAAAAGGCGGGAGTCTGGAGTGTGATAACTGTGGCTTCGTCTCATTTCCCCCTCCAAGACTAAAACCTCCCTCATCTGCTCAGTGGTGAGTCCTGCCTGACACTGCCCAGGGCTGGCGGGGCACCTCCCAGTGAGGCGCCTCCATCTGCGTGTGTGTGCGCGCGTGTGAGGTTGTGTGTGAGCACTTGGCGGGGGGAGGGAGGGGACGCGTGTCCATCTCTCTGTCCTCTGGGCCCTCAAACCGCAGAGAGGGCTGAGACCCAGAAAGCCGCTTGCCACAATGGTGACCACTGTGTGAGCTCTGAAGGGAAAAGAGAAAAACATAAGAATGAAAATCCAAGGTCAGAGCAGGGGGTAGCCGGGGAAAGGAGGAGGGAACATGGCAGGTGCCCAAGGCTGCCCTCGGACTGTCGTCATCTTGTAAACAAGCTAGTGTGAGTTCTCGTCAGATAGAAGGAGTAAAAAGACCGCAGTCTGGAGGCTGGGCCGGGAGTTGCCGACGTCCATCTATCTAGTCCACCACGGCCAGCAAGAGGAAAAAAAAGTTTTCTAGTTTCGTGATTTTTGTTGATTTTTTTGTGAGTAAAATTTTCATAACCTAAAGCTGGGAGGGACCCAAAAAAGCCAAATGTGAGCCCTTGTATGCGTCAATTTGAAAGTTGGCTCAGGGTCTCTAGACAGAATAACCATAGCAAAGGTTGAGAAAACTGTTCCATTCGCACTTAGTTTTTGTGGTTTTAATGATTTAAAATCATTTCTTTCCTCCTGCATGGTCTCAGAGCCTGGTCTGGGCCTCCGGGACATAAATCTCGATGCTGTCTGCGCTCTCGGTGGCTGAGTTCTGCCGCACAGAAGCTGCCCGCTTCGCCGCCAGGAGTCTCTTGCGGGCCTCCTGGCGCTGCTTGTCGCTGGCGTCTGAGGCCTTGTCGCGGCTCACTGCCGGCTTGGATTTGGCTGGCTTCTTCGGGACCGGAGGGGGTGGTTTCTTCTCTTCCTTTAGTGAGACAGTGAGGAGGGAACAAAAATAAAATAAAGGTGCCACATTTTGTGTGGCGCTACCCCCACCATATGCTGGCAGCTGGAGTCTCCACCCCAGCTTCCCCGCACCGGGCACAAGCAACACACACTTGGAATCAGGAAGCCATGAGAAGCGATGACAGTGGGAAGAGCACAAGGCACAGGAACGGAAAGCAAGCCTAGACTCCGAAGGTGCTCGAGCAGCAGGATGGGCAGATCCCCGTGTCCACCCTCATGTTGAACCACCAGGAGCTTGAGACTCAGGCAGGAGCTAGCCCGAGTACAGTCAAGAGACTTAAATTTAGGGCTTCGGGTCCCATTTTACAGGCTATTCTAGGGGAGCAGACAGGGCCATGGTTCAATAGGGGTCACTGGTTCTGTTGGTTTGCAGAAGGAGGCCTCGGGGAAGAGGCTGGCTACCACGAGGTCACAGAACTGGCTCCAGACCCCAGGACTGGCAGCAGGGCCCCAGGACAAGGGACCACTTTGCTACCTCCTCTGTTATAACGTGATTGAGGCTGTGGGCGTGCCTCTCCCAGGACCCCCTTTTCTGGACATGCAGGGCAGGACACATGCTTCAGGGGCAGCCTCAACTATACGGAGCAAGCGGCATGCTAGACAAGTGCCAAGCATGGACCCCACGCAGTGATGGACGTGAGCCCCCAGCTCAAAGACGACACACGGAGAAGGGAGCCAAGCAGCACTGACCGATGTGGGCAGCGTTATTGCCGACCAGGAATTTGTCCCTGGACTTCCCCTCCGCACTGCTCCATGCTCACCTTCCTCTTCTCGGGGGTCTCCACCAGCTGCCAGCTGTTGGCCTTGAGGTGGTAGAGTTCATCGAACTTCATGCTGATGTCCTCGATGGACAGCTGTAGCAGGTCCCAGAACCCTGCCAGGTCCTGGGCTGTGGGGCGTGGGTTGGCATCAGGGTTCTGTGGGCCAGATGGGGATCAGTGGGGCGGGCTCAGCAGAGGCTTGTCCTGCTCCCCCGACCCCCCGTCTCCGCTTCCCCCGCCCCGCGCCCTGCTGAAGCATGTTTCCTCTGGCCCCACCAGCACCCGAGGGGGCTCTTGAGGCCTAGTGTCCAGGTCAGTATCTGTATGAATGAATCTAAGCCAGTTCTGGTCAGCACCAGCCTTAGTGGTGGAGATCCTTGGGGACAGCCTATAGGGCTGTGGTGAGGAAAGCACTCCTGTCCCTAATGTATGCCAAGCAGACAGTTGTTTTGCAAGGAAGAAATACAAGTTTTTGGCCATGGTGTGAGTGACACCGATTGCCCCATTCACTCCCAGGTGGGGAAGATCACGGAATCCATGTTGTCTCCCTCGTGTCACTCTGTTCCATGACAATGCAACCCCCAGGTCTCTGCAGGTCTTGGAGACAAACACTCTCCACTGCGTCCCGCTGGGAGCACACAGATTCCCACAGGCAGAACAGCCCAGGACTTTGCTTTTGACCCCAGCAGGGCCAGCCCTCCTAACAGGTAAGAGGGAGGGAGAAAGCCAAGCCACCAATCCCAGCAGTGGTATTTCTTTAGTTCTTACCTTGAATGTCTTCTTACAGAAAAAATATACATATATATATATAATTTTTGAGACGGAGTTTTTGCTCATTGCCCAGGCTGGAGTGCAGTGGCGCGATCTCAGCTCACCACAACCTCCACCTCCCGGGTTCAAGCGATTCTCCTGCCTCAGCCTCCCAAGTAGCTGGGATTACAGGCATGCGCTCTCGCCCCCTTTCTTGCGTAGACACTGACACACATTGCCACTGGCCGCACTGTTTGTGTTACAGAGGAGGGCACAGAGGCTTCGCGGGGCTGGCAGAGTGTAGTGGGCAGCCAAAGGCTGGAAGCCCTGCTGTGGAGGAAGAAGAATCACACTCACCAAGTTTTGCTCACAGAGGCCCCGGAACTGCTGGAATTTCTGGGACATCAGTAGCTGGGCACTGCCCACCGCACTGAGGACTTTTCCTAAGACTGAGAAGCAGAGGGTGGGAAGACTGATTTAGCACAGCACAGCATTTGTGGGGACGGCATCATGCTTTTGATCTCCCCCTGCACTCCCTTAGGGTAGAACTCATTATTTCATGATGGTGGTGGTCTTCATTTTACCTACACATTAGTCCATTCTCATTGAGAAAAACACAAACAATATAAAGTGAACCCCATCCCATTTCCTGAGGATATTTTATGGCAACAAATATGAAAACAGCATAAATGTAAAACATTTTCCAGAAAAACATAAGAAGGTCTTAAGAAATAGAGGCCAGGTACAGTGGCTCACGCTTGTAATCCCAGCACTTTGGGAGACTGAGGCGGATCACCTGAGGTCGGGAGTTAAAGACCAGCCTGGGCAGCATGATGGAACCCTGTCTCTACAAATACACAAAAATTAGCTGGGCATAATGGCAGGTGCCTGTAATCCCAGCTACTCAGGAGGCTGAGGCAGGAGAATCATTTGAACCCAGGGGGCGGAGGTTACAGTGAGCCGAGATCGTGCCACTGCACTCCAGCCTGGGTGACAGAGCGAGACTCAGTCTTTAAAAAAAAAAAAAAAAGAAAAAGAAAAAATTTGATTAGACTCAAATATTTTTAAGAAACTGAAGCAGAACTCTTCTCAGAAAAGGAACTAGGTCTAAGTTTTACAGCTGAGGTATTAAAAACTTTCAAGAAACAGGAAATCCCTTTTTTATATATTCTGTTCCAGAGATTAAATAAACATGGAAAATGATGCAACTTGTTTTAGGAACTCTGACAGCAGATAAGACATGCCAAGAATGGACCACTTTCACTAACATAAATGTAGGAGTCTTAAAGTATAAACAAATAGGATCTATCAGAAGAATTGTAAAAAAATAAACATCCTAATTGATAAGTATTTAACCCAGGAATACAAGGTTGATCTTGTCTTGTGACTTCCAGTTTTAAAGTGCTGGCATCAGCCAGGCATAGTGGCTTATGCCTGTAATCCAGTACTTAGGGAGGCAGGAGGTCCCCGACAAAAACAGAAAAAATTAGCTGGGCGCGCTGGGGCGCATCTGTGGTCCCAGCCACCTGGGAGGCACAGGCTGTGGTGAGCTTGGACCATGCCACTGTACTCCAGCCTGGGTGACAGAGTGAGGCCCCCTGCCTCAAAAAATCATAAAGTACTGGCACAGCCGGGCACTTTGAGAGGCCTAGGCCACGTGGTAAAAGCCCATCTCTAGAGAAAATACAAAAATTAGCCAGACATGGTAGCATGTGCCTGTAGCCCAGCTACTTGGGAGGATCACTGGAACCAGGTAGATTGAGGCTGCAGTGAGCTGTGATGACAGCATTGCACTCCAGCCTGAGTGACAAAGTGAGACCTTGCCCCCACCAGACACAAAAAAGGTGCTGGCATAAAGACAATGCTACCCATCCCCAACCCCCTTAGAAATCACTGAAAAGCAAACAAAGTAAACAAGAAGGGGGAGGCCGAGGTGGGTGGATCACAAGATCAGGGGTTCGATACCAGCCTGGCCAACATGGTAAAACCCTGTCTCTACTAAAAATAAAAAAATTATTCAGGCGTGGTGGCCCATGCCTGTAATCCCAGCTATTCAGGAGGCTGAGACAGGAGAATCGGAACCTGGGAGGCGGAGGTTGCAGTAAGCCAAGATTACGCCCACTACACTCCAGCTTGGGTGGCAGAGTAAGATTCCATCTCAAAAATCAAACAAAAAGTAGCACACCCAATTTTATTTGAAATTAAAAAAGGAGGCTTGGGCATGGTGGCTCACACCTATAATTCCAGTACTTTAGGAGGCTTGAGGCAGGAGGATCACTTGAGCCCAGGAGTTCAAGACAGCCTGGGCAACAAAGTGAAACCCTGTCTCTATGATTGCTTGAACCCAGGGTTTCAAGGCTGCAGTGAGCTATGATGGTACCACTGCATTCCTCCAGCCTGGATGACAGAGCAAGACCCTGTCTCAAAAACAAAAAAGAGTGTGGACTGCAGCAAGAGCTTTCCTGAACCTAGCCGGCAGCAAGGAGAATGACAGGGTTGGGGAGGCCCTGCATTGTGAGCAGCCCTGTAGTTGCCTGTGGAGAAGAAAAGCCTGATAGAACTCTCCCAGGCACCCATTCCCACCCTATTCCCACATATGATTCCTGCTGGCCTGGGACACAGTCCTGGCCCCGATCTCACAATGATCTACTTACAAGAGCTCATCAAGGAAGAATTCACCTCATTAAGAAATTACTAATTAAAAGGGAACTGACACAGGAGTTAAAGATATTACAGGAACAGCAAATGGCACATGAATACTTACCAGAAATTGTTGCCAGGGAATAGATGAAAATTGTAACATTTATCCATGAATATGTAAAATAAGTCAAAGCAGAGATAGTAAGACAATGGAAGGAGATAAAACAGGGGCTCGGGAACTAGAGCAGGAGGAAAATCAGGCCATCATAGAAACAAGGCCACACTGGAGGTCGCACAGAGGTTCAACCCTGCTGAGGACTTGTCCTGAGTAGCAGAGCCCTACAGGGAGAGGAGGGCTGAAAGGGTCCAGGTACAAAGTGCTTCAGCTGCCCCATGAACAGAACAAAACATTTATTTTAAACGAATAGTTAAGCTGGGGGGAATAAAATGAGCCCCCCAGGGTAGACAGTGGGGACCTGTGCCTGGCTTGGTTTAAAGTGTGGGAATAAAAGGGAATCTTTCCTAAAAAATTATAAGATCGTACCTGGGTACCTTATCTTTTTACAAACAGAAGTAGGGACTAAGTATTTAAAAAGACAAACTACTAAAAAGAGATTCAGAGACATGGAAGAGAAAGAACATGCATCTATCAGAGTTCTAAAAGGGGACAGAGAGATGGGAGAAATCAGAGGGATCATGGTTATCAATGTGGAGGCTCAGGCCTGTAATCCCAGCACTTTGAAAGGCAAAGGCCAAGGCAGGCAGATACTCGAGGCCAGGAGTTCAAGAGCAACCTGGGCAACATGGTAAAACTCTGTCTCTGTTAAAAATACAAAAAATAGCCAGGTGTGGTGGCACATGACTATAATCCCAGCTACTCAGGAGGCTGAGGCAGGAAAATCATTTGAATCTGGAAGGCAGAGGTTGCAGTGAGCCGAGATGGTGCCACTGCACTCCTGCCTGGGTGACAGAGAGACTGTCTCAGAAAAAAAAAATTTTTTTTTTTTTTTCCCAGAAATTGCTCCAGCCCTCAGAGCCAGGAAGTCAAATGAATCCTAAACAAAATCCATACTTACTTATAGTAATACAAAGAAAGCTCTTAAAGGGCAGTGAAAGAGGGAGGAAAGTACCATCTCAATCCCATAAAACTGGATGTTGTGTCTAAATACATACAGGACCTAGAAGAACATGTCAAACTGTAAACAGCCGTGATTGTGGATGACTTTGTTCTTCTTGTGTTTCTCAGTTTCCTATAATGCAAATATTAACTTTTTAAATTTTTTATTTGAGAAAATCTCTTGCTCTGTTGTCCAGGCTGGGGTACAGTGGTGCCATCATAGCTCACTGCCGCCTCAACCTCCTGGGCTCCCAAGTAACTGGGACTATAGATGCACATGCCATCAGACCCAGCTATTTTTTTTTTTTTTGCTTTTTGAGACGGAATCTTACTCTGTCGCCCAGGCTAGAGTGCAGTGGCACCATCTTGGCTCACGCAACCTCTGCCTCCCGGGTTCAAATGATTCTCCTGCCTCAGCCTCCCGAGTAGCTGGGATTACTGGCATGTGCCACCACATCCAGCTAATTTTTGTATTTTTAGTAGAAATGGCATTTTACCATGTTGACCAGGCTGGTCTCAAACTCCTGACCTCAGGTGATCTGCCTGCCTCGGCCTCCCAAAGTCCTGGGATTACAGGTGTGAGCCACACGAGTGCCTGGCCTAATTTTTTTGTATTTCTTATAGGAATGAAATCTCATTATGTTAGCCAGGTCTGTCTCAAACTCCTGGGCACAAGTGATCCTCCTGCTTTGGCCTCCAAAAGGACTGGAATTACAGGTGTGAGCCACAGCGCCTGGCCTACATATTAATTTTTATTTTAAAAAATAAAGGGCGAGGAAAAATTGCTGCCAAAGGAATGAGTTTAACAGCAAACTCTCAACCATAATGGATGAAAACAGTAAAACAATATATTCAAAGTATTCAGATAAAGGTATAATTTACATTTCTACATTAGAGAAAGTATTATTCAAGAATGAATGTGGAATCCCAGCACTTTGGGAGGCCGAGGTGGGCAGGTCATCTGAGGTCAGGAGTTTGAGACCAGCCTGGCCAACATGGTGAAATCTCATCTCTACTAAAAATACAAATACTAGCCGAGTGTGGTGGTAGTCACCTGTAATCCCAGCTACTTGGGAGGCTGAGGCAGAATTGCTTGAACCTGGGAAGCAGAGGTTGCAGTGAGCCAAGATCGTGCCACCGTGCTCCAGCCTGGGCAACAAAAGCACAAAACTCCATCTCAAAAAAAAAAAAAAAAGATTTTAAAAATAAATCCTCTCATTGTATTGTGGGTGGGTGCAGTGGCCATGCCGTCATCCCAGCACTTTGGGAGGTCAAAGAGGGAGGACTGTTAAGCCCAAGAATTGGAGGCAAGCCTGGGCAATAAGCTAGGACCCTCATGTCTAAAAAAATATTTTTTAAATAGCCAGGTCGTGGCAGGGGTAAACCGCTACTTGGAAGCTGAGCAGGAGGACCCACGAGACTGGAGTTGAGGTGCAGAGAGCTATGATTGTGCCAAGACCCTGTCTCAAGAAAATAAAAAAACGAAAAAGAATGTGGATACATTGGTGTAGTGTGGAAGGTTAGAAAAAAAAAAAAAAAATGCAGGCACAGTGGCTCATGCCTGCACATCCTAGCACTTGGGAAGCTGAGGCAGGTGGGGTCACTTGAGGTAAGGAGTTCGCAAGACCAGCCTGGCCAACATGGCAAAACCCGCCCGTCTCTACTAAACAATGGCAAAAATTAGCTGAAATG